AAGTATATCTCAGCCCAGAAATATAACACTTTACTACAATATTGTAAAGCTTATCAGTAAGTTGATTAATATAATCAGTATCAGTTAGTATCTGTTCAATCATCTAAGACCGTTAGTACTTATCTGTTAAAAGTATATACTCCTAGGAACCCACGTACAGAAGACCTATTAGGCCCGGTGATATGTTGATTTAGGCCTTGCCGAAACTTCCTGACCAACAAGGCATCTGCAGCTGTAATACTTGCAGTCGAGCCAATGTTCATAAAGAGAAAATAGCCTCCGGTGGCAACAGCAACTTGATTTGCCTCGAGGCAGGAAGCCATACTGACAAAGGCCCCGGCTTGTAACATGCCAGTACCAAAGCCACTGGGAAAGATGTACAAGGATTCCCACCTTCGAGATGTCCCGTCCCAGAAAAGCCAGACCATGGCGTAACTGGACGCGGCAAAGACACACGCAATGCTTGTGATGAATTTAAATCGGCCGGTTCTCTTGATGATCGTCCCGGCTAGGAGTCCGCCGATGGCATTGCCAACTACAGCTGGTACCAAGCGGGCCCCAGCCTCTGTCGCTGTGGCCCGATGCGTTACCTGGTAATAGAGTGGCACACCAAACATCAAGCTGCTCTGCGCAACTATCTGCAGAGAACTTACAAGGTAGCTTGCGAGCACATTTGGCTGCTGAAGCAGGGAAAGAGGGAAGACCGGGTCACGGGCGACGTGCCGCTCGACCAGAACAAACCCTACGAGACAGCTTAGAGCCAGAGCTAGAAGGACTCCCGAGATTGGTGTCATGAGTTGCGAGTCATTGCTGCCACGGTGTAGTAGGAGAATTGCAAAGGATAAGGATCCCGAGAGAAGTGACAGCCCACACCAATCAATGCCTTGCAGTTTGGCTTTGGAGGTCTTGTTGTCGGCGGTGTCGTCGCGACCATGTTCCGAGCCGAGCATCAGTGCCAGGGGAATGACTGCAGTAGCGGTCAAGGCAGCTTGGAGGTGAAACAACCTGGAAAGCTTTAGCCACTGTGAGAGCCTGGCATCTTTGCCCTTTCAGCATCTTACCATCTCCATCCGACGGCATCAGTAAGCCAGCCGCCTAACGGGCCGCCAAGACTCCTTCCAAGAGTCATACAGAGATTGATATAGCTTCGCCAAACAGCAAGATCTCTGACAGGGACAATGTCTGAATATGAGAAAAGAAGCTCAGCCACTGTTTGTTCCGTCGTTTTGGGGTTGGAGAGGAAGGCAAATACCTGTGATGATAATGGATGCCATGGTCATCAGTCCAGCGCCCCCGATACCAGTGATGATTCGCCCGCCGATGACATGCCAATAGACGAGGCTGAATCCACTAATAACAATCACATTAGTAATCCGTTCTCTGCTCGGGGGGTCAAAGCTGTCCGTTAATGGAAGAAACCACTGCATACCTGATTGTACATCCAAAGAAGTAGGAGATGTATGCGGCCAACATCATGGCTCTGCGTCCATAAATATCACTGAGCTTACCGTACTAGGAACTCGCTGATTAGCCAAACACATATACATACAATGCTCAGGTACTAGGCATCTCAGTATTATACCAGCGGTTGAGCAGCGCAGACCCCAAGGCTGTAGCTCGTTGACAGCCAGTCAACATTCTGCAGGTTGTTGAACTCGGACATAATGCGGGCGCCGGAGGCCAACATCATAGAAGCGTCGGCATTAGAGATGATTTCACCTAAAAGGTCAGACAGCCTAATCACGTCAAGTGATGCACGGGCGTCGAACGTACCGAGTAGTAGAATGGTCACTATCCCATAAAATAGACGCGTCTGCTTTGCTACTCGAACTTCAACATTCGGGAGCAATGGTGCCTCAACGTCAGCCATTGCAGGGGAGCGACTGGCCTGTCGTTATTGCTGTGCGGTTCTAACCGTTGTTAAAACGATGAGAGATACAATACACTCTCGAACTAACTTAATAAATAAGAATGACAACCCACTCTGGTGCTCGCACAGTGGTAAGTTGATTGAAATATCTTGGCGCCAAAGCTAGTCGTTCGCAAGAGACAACATGTCCTTCTGGCACCCCTTTTAAGGTACAAGCTCAGCAACTGCTGCATCCCTGAGCCCCGGAGTTCACTCCAAGGAGCGGTCCAGATTAAACGATAGTGTAAAGAAAATCGGGTTAAATTGCTGCGCCGGAGTGAACCCACACAAGAGGCTAACCAAGTCCTACTAGTCAATCTGGAAATACAGGGGTGATGCTGTTAGCAGGACGGGGCCTCGGCGGCATTAGACGGAGTTCCAGGGCACATGGCGATAAGCGGCGGACTCTGGCCGGAGAAGCCCAGTCCCTCATCCTGTAGGTTCCGCATCTTCGCACTTACTCAAGCGCCTTGTACAAGCATCAGATCGAAGCTACTGTACCGGCCACACGTAAAACCTACATATTATTCAATCGGAAGCTCTTCTGTCATCGAGGATATCCCCTTCAACCTATTTCTTCGCTCATTTACTAGAGATGCGGCTCTTAAGTCTGTCTACCTCAGTGGCCTTGGCTACATTTGTTTGCCATACACTTGCTCAAACCCATATCCACACCAACCAAAATCAGCAGATCTTGTCTGGAAAGCTTGAGAAGAGTCATGGACCACCCAACATCGTCTTCATCCTCACCGATGATCAGGATCTTCACCTCAACTCCCTCGAATATCAGCCACTCCTCAAAAAGTATCTAAGAGAGGAGGGGACGACCTTTTCCCAGCATTATTGTACCATTGCCCTCTGCTGCCCTTCTCGAGTCAGCCTCTGGACTGGAAAGGCGGCCCATAACACCAATGTTACGGACGTGAGCTCACCCTACGGTGGCTACCCCAAATTCATCAGCCAAGGGCTCAATGAGAACTGGCTTCCGGTGTGGCTTCAGGACGCTGGATACAACACGTACTACACAGGAAAGCTGTTCAACGAGCACACCGTTGACAATTACCACAGCCCCTACCCCAAGGGCTTCACGGGCTCGGTAAGTTGGGTCTTAACGCAGTAGTCTACCGTATTCGCTGATAGAGTGTGGCTAGGACTTTCTCTTGGATCCTTTCACATATCAGTATCTCAATAGTAGCTTCCAGCGGAACCGTGATCCCCCGGTTAAATACGAAGGGCGGTACTCTCCAGATGTCATAGCAGAGAAGGCTTATGGATTTCTTGACGAGGCTGCTCAGCACCAGAAGCCGTTCTTCTTGGGCATTGCTCCGCCGACTTGCCACAGTAATGTTTATTTTGAGGGTCTGGGTAAAGAGACGCTTGCCTTCTCTCCGCCAATCGCGGCTGAGAGACATCAAGGCCTGTTCGCTGATGCGAAAGTGCCAAGAACCTACAACTTTAACCCGGACACCCCGTCAGGTGTGAGTTGGATTAAGGAGTTACCAAAGCAGAGCGAAGAGAACGTCGACTTCAACGACCACTTCTATCGACAGAGACTTAGAGCGCTACAGTCGACTGATGAGATGGTTGAAGGTCTTGTGCAGCGACTAGAGGCAAATGGCCAACTTGACAACACGTACATCGTATACACAACCGACAATGGGTACCATATCGGGCAGCACCGCCTGCAGCCGGGAAAAACATGTGGATATGAAGAAGACATCAACATTCCTCTTATCATCAGAGGCCCCGGTGTCCCCAAGAATCAGACTACGAATATCACCACCACTCACACCGACATGGCGCCCACCATCTTTGAGATGATTGGTCTTCCTCCACGGCATGATTTTGATGGTGTGTCCATCCCTTTGACTGCTGAGGGTATGGAGAAAGCTAAATACACCCGACACGAACACGTGAATATCGAATATTGGGGCTTCAATATGGGCGAAGGTGACTTTGGAGGCGAGCATCATCCACATCGGGATCTGTAATTTGAGGCCCCGGTTTGGAACGCACAACCGCTGATTGATTCTCAGAGAGATTTATCTGGAACAACACGTACAAGGCTATCCGAGTCATTGGCGACAAGTACAATCTCTATTATTCTGTGTACTGTAACAATGAGCATGAGCTGTACGATCTCAAGGTAATAATAGTTCCTATGCATATTTCCGCTCCTCCCTTCAACCAATTCCATATCCGGCTAACCCATCTCCGTCAAACTGTACAGACCGACCCCGGTCAGATGAATAACCTTTTGGGGGCGTTGGACCCAGCCAAAAGCCCTGCCCAAGCTCCAGCCCTCCTCGGTCTACCTTTAACCAAGGTGTTAGCAAGACTTGATACGCTCCTCCTTGTACTCAAGTCTTGTAAAGGAGGAGTGTGCGTCCAGCCTTGGAAAGAGTTACATGCTGATGGAAGCATCAAATCGCTCCTCGATGCGCTTGACCCCGAGTTTGACGATTTCTATGAGGAACAGAGCAAGGTTTCCTTTGGTCGCTGCGAAGAAGGGTATATTCTCGATGCAGAGGGCCCTCAGTTTGAATGAAGAAGCGGGCCTCTCTATCGCTATAGTGAGTCAAGGGATAACTGGGTCTAGATCGGCCTATGTCCCTGGATGTGTTGTTAGCAATTAAGATCTGTGGCTACGTAGACCTTAGTGCTACAATCTATTATATAGACGATAAGACAATGCATTTATCATCATGTTCTCAACACCTCCGCTGGCAGCCGAGCATTTGACCGTACGACCTGCAAGTAGCCATGTGCTTGTTTATATTCTTTATTGCTTTAGGCAGTCGGTCTCTCACTAGCCTCGCAAGAAGCTGGTAGAAGGTGGAGAGTTCTTATCTATCTACTGTGTTAATGAACGTCCAAAGGGCATCTAAATTTTGAGTGAGACTATAAGATCTTTACCACAGGCCTCATTACAGATAACACATTATAAAATCGAGGGAAAGAAGAGGCTCGGCTTGAATCATGCATACAATCTTTATTCTGCACCTGTTACAGTCGTAACCAGAGCATCTATAACGAGTAACAAAACTCAGTATTCTCCACATCAATCACAACGTCGATACCTCCAGAGGCGACTTCTGTACATTCTAAAGCGCATACCTGAAAGCAGTAGTTTCCTTGCCATCATGTCCTCCAGCATCGACAGCCACGCCATCCAATCTTGAAGATGACTTCTTATCTAGACGGTTGTTCAAGGCTCGGTATATGATATTAGCTAGGATGCAGCATAGCAGCGAGAAAGAAAGCAAGGATATGATCACTGTCCAGCCAACGACATAGTAGGGGCGATCGGCGGATCGGAATAGCTGTGGGCCAATGAGACCGGCGCAATTAGCAGCCATGATATATAGCGCCATGGAGATATTTCTCTCGTTGGGTGATCGGCAATTCAGAACGATCCAAGAGCTGTTGACAGGATCTGCGATTGATCAGCACACACCCAGGGCGAGACACTGGAGGGCCTGATTCAACGCACGCCATATGGAGGTGAAGGATAAGGCCATTGTGAGTATTCCAAAACGAAGAGACGACGACTCTGCGTTATTGACAAGCCGACTCACGAGCTAACCAATTATCAGTTATAACCTGCAGTCAAAAGCAAAAGCATGGGCTCCTCTTACCGCGAAGAGCCACCAAAGACTAAAACCACCCAGCACAACAAGTCCTCGGCGTCTTGTATAATCTCTATCAAAGTTTGAATGATGAGTCCGACATGGGATTCTGATCCGACAGGCGTGTTACTTACGCGATAAAACCAGCTACTGGGTTTACAATCAACTGTATCCAGGAGCTTACAGAGGTCAGAGCGTTTGACTGCAGTCTCGAGTATCCATAGCTGCTGATTAAACTTGGCGTATATGAGTTCAAGGCCGCGCCTGGAGCAAGGCCTAGCAGAACGATCAGGAGATGAGGATAGACACGCCAGTTGCAAAAGACCGCCCAGACTTCTCGTAGAGAGACACCTTTGATTGTACCCTCGTGTTGGTCGTGGAAAGACTCTCGTATTCGAAGAACCTCTGCCTCTTTTTCAGTAAAGAAAGAAATGCCAAACAGACTGACGGGGTTTCTGGTGCTTTTAGGAAAGAAGATAGCAAACGCAACACCAATCAAGACCGTGAAGATGCCTTCAAGGATGAAAAGCCATTGCCAGCCGGTCATACCACCGACGCCTCTCATACGCAAAACGCCATATGCGATCAATCCTCCAATAGCAGAACTGAAAGAGTTGCCGAGGAAGAACATGGCGAACCGTGAACTAGTCTCAGTATGCTTGTACCAGATAGAGATGCAGTAAAGAGCACCAGGGATATAGCCACTCTCACAGATTCCCAACAGAACACGTAGGGCCAGGTAACTGCCGAGACCTTTCTGCCATGCTTGGAACGTAGCCACGAGACCCCAAGCCGTAATCTGCGCGGTAAACCAGATGCCTGGGCCAAAACGCATAAGGACCATGTTACTCGGAATCTCGAGGATTATAATTCCAGCCGCGAGTAGCTGCTGACCAATGTTAAATTGATTCTGTGTGATACCCACATCTTCGAAGAAAGAGTCGGTAAGGGCGTAGGCAATGTTAGACCGGTCGAGATTCAAGGCGATGAAACCAAGAATCAACAACGGTAGGACAAAGAAGTCGACCCTATACGAGAACAGTTAGCAGTGTTCTTAACAGTTAAAGGAGTTCCGTTACGGGTTGCATACTTTCTACACAGCTTCTTTTCGTCATCAGATGTGAATTCACCAAGAGAGGACCTATCCTCAACGACCGGGGAAGGCAAGACGCCTTCCAGCTGCTTATCTGAGGTTACCATGGTAGGAACTTGCATGTAACAGCTGAAATTCTTTAGATGATGAGAAAGAGGGTTCTACGAGGAGACCGTAGACACTGGCGAGCGCTTCTTGAGCATATCCAGTCTGAAACTATAGCTATCACTTATACCTTGTGCACGACCTCTTCTCCGCTTAGCCCCTCCTATGTCCGGCGGAATGGTATGGCGTTAAACATGGCACGTACCGAGAAGTGATTATTGCAGATGATTGCGACATCCCTTATCTCAATGGCGCATTGGTCTGCTTAGCCTTTTGTAGCTAGTCTTATCTATAGACTAGCGGCATTCGCAGCCAATGCGGTGACCTTTTCAGCCAGTCACGCAAGGGATGTTGAGTACAATCAGAGTAAATGGACAATCGCACCATGCATGCGAGCTGAAACCTCTCTCCAAATATGTTAGGAGTGGCCTGTAACAAGGTGTTTCCATTATTTTACCTTTTCTCAAGAAGACACTGCCTAAATTGTTATATCCAGGATAACAACCTGTGACATTGGATACACGAGTTAGATATTTTACGGAATTTTACAAGACTAGTATTTCTATCACATAAATACGCACAAGATTAACCTCCCTAGTTTATCTCAACCACACAATCACTGTCATTTCTGACTTATCAGATCCTGTTGTAATCCTCATCAAATAATGGCTGTGATGCAAACATGTCCACGTGGCCCCCTCCAAAGAAAGTTTCCAAGTCCACAGCATCATCTACTCCCACGAATGTGAGATTGACAGAGGGTTGTTCATGTTCTGTAACTCGTTGATCACGGGTCAAAGGTCTGGAGCCATTCAAACAGTTGTGACTAGCACCAGACCCATGAGATCTAGGTGACTCTACCTGGGGCCCTCGTTCTAGGGCAAGATCACCCATGACAGCTGCCACCGCTCGGTCCACAAAGATAGAAGTTTGCGGCGTGAACTTGAGCATGGAGCAGTCAGACTTAATCTTCGCCAGGGCCCTGAGGGCATCTCTTCTCTCAGACTCGCCGAGTGATAGTTCGTCAAGTCTCGACAGTAACAAGACGGAGTACTCAATGGAAACAGTATAAAAAACGGGGAGTCGACCGTAGGAGGCGGAGGGCATCTGATCGTAACTCAGTAGACATGCAAGAGCGTCTAACATGACGCGTTTCCTCAACTCAACGACAGCGGGGCGGTTCCTTGAAGCAGGCGTTTCGAGGTTGCTTGGTGACGTTGCCGACTCATCATGGTTGCTCTGTCTTTCGGATCTTGTCTCAGCTTGTGTAGGCACCGGTGGACTTTGCGACCAGGTTTGATCGACTTCTTGTAGTGCGCGCTGGAAGAAAATCATGCGAGCAATGCTGTAGCCAAGATTCATCAAGCTGGCAGTTGGACGTGCTGTTGGTCCGACAAAGACCTTGTTAGAAAGCATTGTATCAATGTGAACAATGTACTTGCCTCGAAGGTAGGCCCAGTCAGCTTCCCATTTTTCGAATTCATGCATGTGTGTCCAGCTTTTTGAGGTTTTCTTGTGCAGCTCCTGGAAAAGCATAGAATAGAGAACAATCTCTGCGTACAGCATGAGATCCGAGAGAGCTGCTCCAGGGCAAGAGTTAGTGGATTCCCGCTAAATCCCTGGCGCCGTGAGTTGTCTTCCATCGCCCTTGTCTCATGTATCCTCTCCAACCCAAAGCCCAACTCATTCCTGCTCGCAATGATACCAGCCTTTACCGCCTTTAAAATGTTGACAGAGATCAGGGCGTTTTGACATGCCTCGTTCTCAGCTATCAGTGATCAAACATTGCTCATTTATAATGCTTCAAGTCCAGCTCCACTGAAGTGATCTTGACAGATAGAAGTCTCTGGCATGGTCTCTTTAATCCCATCGCTAGCGTCTGTCTATAAATGTATAGCTTCTCTCACAAGCGCCCTATCTCTCTACCATTCGGATGCTCATCCCAAGATGCTATCTGCCCAGGCTATTGTAGCCCCGTTGTGGCCACTCGTCTTATCATTGCTTCCCAAGTATTCTTCAAATCTTAGCAAGACTAATTCCCATAGCCTTAAATGAAACGAGTTTCGTTTGTTTTCATCAAAAAATTTGGCAAGAGTGGCCCCTAGTGTCTTATTCTCAGGCCGCTACTCTTGATAACACAATAGCGCGTGGCGTCCTTTCCAGATAAGCTTCAATAGAATCGCAATCACGCCATACCTTCACAAAATTGGCTCGTCTTTGCTCTTGTTCGAGGACTGGATCTGAAAGTCGGCTTAATCACCAAAGCTCACTGTCTATATTCAACCCACAATCTTAGCAGAAAATGTCCATAGAGTATATATATCTATAAAGCAAAACGCCGATAATCTATCTATATGCCACATATAAGTCTATATAGTTAACCCAAAAGCCAAAAATCAGAAGCACGCCCTCTTATCATTCCAGAAAATAGACAATAAAAAGCCAATATGTATCTAAAGCCTTATTCCCTTTCGTAACAACCAGCCACTTGGTTTACTCTTACTTCTTCCTCTTCCCATCATCAACCCGCTTTTAAATGTCTTGCATCTTCTTGACATCTTCTGTATCCCGCATGACAATATCAAATATCTTTCCGATCACCAAAGCGAGACCAGCAATAACCAGAACCAAGCAAGCAATAAATTGTACTACTTGGTCATCCCAGATGTTGTACTCATACTTGGCAGGGAAGAAATACTGAACCCAGGAAAAGTAGTAGTAAGCAACATAGTAGCTTATCTGGAAGATACAAAAGGCCAAGATATCATTGCCTCGATGCCTGGCGGCGAAGGCTGCCAGCTGCTCGACTGGGTTGAGAGGGTAAGCCCTTCCCCAGAGCCAATGAGCAAAGAGACCTATCATGGCAAGGATGAAGAGGAATCGTCGACGGCAAATCTCGTCTCCCTTATTGATGCTCCACATAATGAGGCTCAAGAACCAAGACACCACTGCCCGAGGGATTGAAACGACTCGCCAAAAGAATGCAGTCAAGGGGTCGATCACCAACGTATGTAATAGCGATGAAATGCCTCTGAGAATCCAAGACCCGAAGTTCTTCAGCTGTGCCAGGCAAAAGGATACAAAGCGGCGAGTCTCCGTCGACACCATCCTCTTCCAATCGACACTGCACCAGGCAGCAAGGCCGAGAATAATGATGATGAAGCCTGCAGTAAAGTACACAAAGAGGTCATACCCGACCATAGTGTTGAGGTCTTCCAAGGTTGGCATGACAGGTAGATCGTTTTGCGCCAAAAATGCATTACACTCGTCGAAGTACTGAATGCCGAAGTATATAGCAACAAGTATGATGGTTAGCAGGAGAGATCCAATAGCCTTCCAATAGCTAGCAATGAACCGAAGGCAACCCCATAGGAATTTGAGATGATTGAGCAGAATCGTTTCCAGCACGTACCCCTGATCATCTGTCTTATCCTCAGGCTTCGCGCGATCAGCTGGCATCTGGGCATTAATCCCAGATGTAGATGCATCTGCATCATTCAGAAGAGAGGCAGAAGAATCTTCAACATTCATCTCAAACGTTTCTATGTCCGCCATGGATGGGTTCGAAGACCCAGAGGAGGGCCAACTGGTGTTGGAAGAGCTTGCGGTGTCGAAAGAGGAAGATTTTGGGGAACGAGTACTGGACCGGCTTGTCGCATCTTGATCTTCGAAATCGAAAGACCAAGGAGTTTGATGGAGTGAAGAGCCTGTAGTGGTAGATTCTGGAGACGGAGTGCGCGGGCCCTGGGATGGAGTCCTGGAGTTGCGGCGCTTTCTGTGAGGTTGTCGTGGTGCCATTGCGGGGGATGATGAAATTCTAGAGGAGAGAAATTGTTTTAGGTGTTTGTTTGTTTGCTCAAGTTGTCTGGATGGAATGTGTTGAATGTGATTGTTGTCGAATTACTTTTACTGGGATACAAAAGCGTTTAAGTAGCTCACTGGACATTGTTGTTTCTCCTCGAATTTTTATTGCTCTTGCTTACTGTAAGGTCAAAAGTCTTTCAGCTATTGAACAGCAACATCCTTTGACACAATTTTCAATGGCTTTTCGGATGTTCAATAGCAGCATTGTTCAACTTGAGGGTCATT